GAGAGAGAGAGAGAGAGAGAGAGAGAGAAGAATCGGAGCTCCGCCGTTGTGGACTGTCACACTATTTCGGGACCGTGATCCAAAGTGCGCGCGAGATACGCGCGCGCGCGCGCGGGCACAAAAAAGTATACACGCGAGGGTCGCGACTGTGTTGTGTATGTGTGTGTATGTGAGAGAGTGAGGGCTCCATCGTCTGTGATTTTTTTCGTGTGCGCCGGAGAGGTGTTTTCCGTTGACAGTGCGTATTTGATGCTCGCTGAAGGGAAGAAAGGAGAAAAAGAAGAAGAAGAAGAAGAAGAAGAAGAGAAAAGGAGGAAGGGAGACCTCGCTCGAAGAGGAAGGTCGCGGCAGCGACTTGCTTGCTTGCTTGCGACACCGCGTGTGTGAGTGTGTGCGTTATCCAGTCCCCCCCAGCCGTTGGGGTCTCCTATTGTTTTCCTACGGCGGCTACGTTGAAAAGGACTGGCCACCAAATGCGCGTACCGCAAATCCTGTTTCATGTTGATGTTCTGGAGCAAACGGACGGTGCTCACTAGACGTCTGCTAAAGGCCAAGGTCCGTGGGGAGCATGAAACCGAGTGTGAAGCTCAAGAGGATTCATCGTCACGTACGTTTCATCGCACGAGCAGCAGCAACGCGAGCGGCGCCGCCGCCGGCTACGACAACACGGGCAGTAACAACAACAAAGCGACGACGACGGGCCGACAACAAGTGAGCAGGGTTACGGCGCGAGGACCAACGTTGTCGGGGAGCGGCGCGGGGGCAGGAGGTGGTGGAGCGGTGGTCTACGGGGGACGCAACACCGCGGCCAGCAGGTTGCATCAGGGCTGTTGCGGCGGCGACACGAGTCAGGATGACGATGAGGAGCAGCAGCAGCAGCAACAGCAACAGCAGCAGCAGCAGCAGCAGCAACAGCATGATCCCAGTCGGTTGCTGAGGTGTAAGGAACTCCTCAAGTCGCTCAAGGAGAATCAACTGGAGATGCTGCTCACCGCCGTCGAGAGCTACGGCGCCGACCTAAGCTCCTGCGTTCTCGTGCCGCGTCAGGTCGAGGACTATCCGTACGATCAGCAGCACGAGCAGCAGCAATATCACGGCAGCAGGCCGCATCGTCATCATACCCGTCATTTTCATCAGCGCCGTTATCGTCAGTATCGGCACCACCGCTCCAGCAGACATCATCGCTCGTCCTCCGTCGAGGACGATCAGGAGAGCTGCTGTTCCGCGTCGGAGGATTCCTCCTCCGCGTCGCCGATGAGAGGATCGGCGAGAAACGGTAGCGGTGCCGTCGTGCCGATGAGAGGATCAGCGGTCGAGAGGAGCACCGGCGCCCCGTGCGACCCGCACCTCCTCTGTTGCCAGATCTGGCGGTGGCCGGATCTCGAGCACTCCTCGGAGCTCAAGAGACTACCTATATGTCATTCCGCTAAAGATCCCGTATACATATGCTGCAACCCTTATCACTGGAGCCGACTCTGCAGACCCGGTAAGCGAAACGTCCTTGCTTTCTTTCTCCTCTCATACACGGAGGGACGTAAACTGATATACTTAAAAATTCTAGTAAATTTTATGAAAATTGAATTGGCAGATCCGTATAAAGATATAATAAACCGAACCGACGAGAATTTCTGAAATGTACGAATTACGTAATTAATAATTTAATATATATCTCAACGTTATACGCTAAAATTTTTACGATTAAAATAATTTTTGATTGATTTAGTTAAAATTGATGGGGAGAAAGATATTTAAAATAAGTATGAAATAACGTATTGTTAAATTTTAATTATTATACCGAATGTCCAAAATCATTTGATAATTGAATGTGAAACTGCATTTGTGGAAAATAAGTAAAGAACGAGTTACATTAGCACACACGTCATATTCGGAGACTTTTTGCACAATATCGTTTAACGTTTATCGAACATGTCTAGTCGGCGCCGCCGGTGTCTAAATGACGGAATAATTTGACGTCGTAACTGGCTACATTATAACACTAGGCCACAAACCGAGCGCTAATCGTCACCTGCTCGATGCTAACAAGCTTAAAGGCTCAGGCCAATGTAAAAGAGAATTTATTAACGGTAGGCCGATGTCTATCCGATTACATTCAAAATGTAGACAAATATAGGCAATACGTACAAGAGAGAGGACCGTAGTGCTAACAGTTTTCCATCGCCGAGAAAGCCGAACAGGTGAACGAGAAATAGAAACACCTGTTACTTCCATGAGAGATAAAAAATGTCGCCGTAAAATCACAGGATAAAATTCTGCAAGATTAGCGCTCATCAATAATAGATTTTTACAATATAAAATATCAACAACAATAGCTGTACATAAAGTGACGCTTAATAATGAATGAAAGTTAATGTCAACTTTCATATTATAAAATTAAATTATGTATTGTCATAAATTTTTAATTAAAAAAAATAATTTAAACAATAAGAATCTTATTAGAAATAATTTAGTTAAAATTAAAAAGTAATTTAGTTTGAAATATCGAAATATATACAGAACGATTTTGCTGAAATATTAGTAAACAAATATATAAATATTAAAAAATATTTAGAAATTTAACTACAAAATACAGATTTGAAAATAATTATCAAAATAGATAATTAATGCTCAAAATATTTTAATATTCTAGCAATTAATCTAATTACTGATAATTTAACAAATTATTTTCAGATCTGTGTATCCAGATAAATTTTTTAACGCTTTAGTAAAACTATATTCTTTCCGTGTATTCTTTTCGGGTACTCTTTGAAAAAAAAAAATTCATTCTTCTATTCAAATGCTAACAGTGTCGACAGGTAGACATTCAAATCTGATAGACGTCTTTTCTTTTTCCGAGTGTGCCTTTGTCGCTTAGAGTTTACGCTAAAGGTTAACCTTACATCGTCTCAACGTTCTAACAATTATAAATGGTTCAAACCAAGAGATTATTTTGCCTATTTTAGCTTTCCCACAAAATCCAAATTTGTCGTACCTGCCTAGAGTTTTCCTGAGAGGGATGTGCTGAAAAGGAATTCATTCATCAATACTTGACGTACGGTAGGAAAGCGAGAACCAACAGTGAGTCATCGGTAAACTGTACAAGCTCGTCTATTTCTGAGAAAACTTAACGAAGAAAATATCGCAAATATAAACGTTACCATTTAAGAAAATATTTCAACGAGGTTCAAGTAATTACCGATTTTTGTTATCTTTTGTTGTTTCGTAATGTAATGATACGTGCATTTTACATATTTAACTTAAACGTCGGCTTTTAAAGTTCTTCAAAGACACCTTTTGGAATGATGTCTTTATAAATAGATAATAACTTTGCCTAGTCTGACACACGTCTTCAATGTTTACGCCGTGATATTTGTCATGTTTAAAGAAATTGTAGAATTTAGGAACCTTGTGGCTCGTCACTATCTCGGGTCCGTCGTCGCCTGCCTTGTTCGGTGACGTGACTTTGTCCGCAAAAAAGCGTCGCGTCCTATAAAGCGGGCGGGAACGAGAGAGGAAGCGAACGAGCAGGCGCCAGCAAAATGCGCCTTTACGTAACCCCGACGATCGTTTAACCCGTCGCCATCGCCGCCACCAAGCCGAACGAATTCGATCGTGCGAACCGCGGCGGTACGGCATTTCAGTAAGTACGAGTTTCGAGTTTCGATGAAAGAAAATTATGTCAAAACGAGTCGGTCGGAATAATATAAAATTGGAAAGAGGAATAATTGGTTTCTAGATATTTCAAATATAATGTATAAATTTAAATTTAAAAAAATTTATATTCTCAAACAACTTTTTCGCTACAATTTACAAAATATATTCGAATATTTGCCCAAGTATTGGGTTCAATTGGATTTGTACAATAAGCTATTACCTAAGTCTTAAGCCGTAAAAAATCGAATTTGATTATTCTCACAATCAATTGTGATTGATCAATTTTTTTAGCTTAAAACGTAATTTATTAAGGTTAGGTAATGGTTTTTTATTATAGAAAACCCATTAAATTCTTCGGTAAATATTCGAATATATTTTATAAATTACAGCAAAAAAGTGTTTAAAAACATACCCTTTAAATTTTGAATATTTTGAAGGTAATGACTTATATTGTAGAGAAAGCCCATGAAGATCATTGAAGCTCGTTTGAACGGACAAAAGTTAGACAATATCGGAAGTTACGTCCAATACCGCGAAATTATGTTTTTTAGTTTAATTTTAACTCGCGCTTCTTGGACACGCCATACGTGTGTACTCGCATTCGGGCATCAGACGGCACACCCTAGATTATAAATAGAAAATTTTACATAATAAATATTCTATAACAACAAGTTTAATCCGTATGAGATTAACGAGCGTTAGTCGGCGGCGGCGGCGGGGACCACGCCTCGAGAACGTATTTATAATATTTCTCATAATCAGATAGGAAGATTCATGTATATATGCCACGTGAATCGATAAATAAATATCGGCTAATTACGTCATCGAGCCATGACGTTCCCTTCTATCATGACCTACGTTCAGCAGACTCAACAGTTGAGTGAGCATTCGCTGTTATTGATCTATTCTTATAGATTAATGTATTCTAAACGTCCGATTGGATAATCTTGAAGAATACATTGATATCAGTTACAATTGTTGAGTCTGCTGAACGCAGTCATGGATTATCACCTCTCATTGCATGATTAGTGTCTAGAATGCAGAGTCTGGACATCTCAACCAAAGTCCCTTAAAATTACGTACAAAATGTGCACGAAAAGAACAATTTTGCTGAAAGATTTAAAATTTTGTCGCATACAAATTTGAAAATAATTTTTTTGGACATTACTCCAGTGACGTAACGTCCATTTCTACCAATGTAAATTAACTTCAATCTTAGTTTAACTACCTTTTTATCTTCTTCTCGTTCTGAGAATTAGAAAAAAAATAAAGAATTTTAATCTTGGTTTTTCATGCTTTACTTTTTATCTTGTTCTAGTTCTAAGAATTAGAAAAAAAAAGAGTAAATTAACCTGATCTACATTGGTAGTAGAAATGAGTATAAATCATGATAAATGAAATGAGCGAGTGCTCGATCAAAAATCCCGCAGAGTCATCGCCTGCGACCGTGTCGCTCGCCTCGGCAAAGCTAATAAAATCGGCGAGCGAGTATACCTATCGACATTCTCTAATCGTATGAAAGATTAAAGACGATATTCCGTAGGAGATTGCTGAGAAAAGTGCGGCTTTTTCTACGTAAGTACGACGCTCGTGAACGTGACCATTCACGCGAGTGCCCACCGGCGCCGGTGGCCTAATCGTGACGACGATTCGTTACAGTCGAGCGCGCCACAAGCACGTTTTATCGATAATATCGAGCGTTTATGGCTGGAAAATCGTATCGAATAGGCGCGACCGATCCGCCGGCGACACCTCCGCAGAAAAAGATCGCGAAGGTGCGCGAGATAAAATCGCGGCCGTGTTTCGTAATTAACGGCGCGCGACACCGAAGAAAATAAACGAATCCTTCGAATTCCATGCTGAGGTTTCCACGGCTAATAATAGAGCGCGCGGTCGCGCCGCATATGCACGCTCGAGGAAGCCGGCACATTTGGGGAAAGAGAGGCGGGAGAAAGCGAATGAGAGAGAAGCGGGCGGGTAACGACGAAATAGTCGTCGCGCGTCAGGAAAAGACAGATCGGATTCTCGGCGCTGCTAACGCGCGGGAGAAGGACGGAAAAGAAGACTTGAGAAGAGCGCGACGCGCAACGTTGCAGAGAGAAAAGGGAAGAAATTGAGCGAATGTAGGTAGGACCTGCGTATTACACGGATGAGAATTAAAGAGCGAGAGAACGGCACTTATCGATGGCTACACAATCAAAGTTATATGACCAGAAGGAAATGAATCTAAAAATAAAACACATATTTATATATATATATTAGGCGAGTCAG